TTAAAAATAATTAAAGCAATCGATATATGCATTTAAGTGTTATATTAGTTGCTAATAGTTACCTGTATAGTTTACACAATTTATCATTTTGATAGAAGGAAGCATATAACCACCGTTAATGTGTTTATATATCTTCAAGTGTATGTAATTCAATGTTTCCACGATTAAATCTCTTTCTCAACATCACAGAAACCGGATGCTTTTGATTGTAGCAGAAATGTTATACATTTCAGTAGACAGTATATACATATAGTGGTGAGGTTTTATCAACTAGAGAAATAGGCATGTGTGAAGTTATAATAAAATTATATTGAATTATGCCTCAGAAAAGTTTATTTATGAAAGTCTCTTTATGTAGATATCCTACACAAATTCAGTAGGATTGAGTGAAATATACTGATATAAGTATAAAACTTGGGCACTGTGGTAGAGTATAACTCCATTATGAATAAGATTTTATTTTGATAAATCATAATCATATCATATATATATATATATATATATATTTATACGAATGAAATTAAAACAAGTGGTTACGTAATGCATAATTTATACGTTGAAATATAAGGATAATAAATTGAGTAGTGAAATTGCTAAAACCGACTACACAATTGGGTGGAAGTAGGCGGAATAATAGGATAGTTAAAATAACAGTACGTTGTCATGATGGCATTAACATCTGCCTGCCATCATAAAGTCATATTTTGATCATACGGCTAGAAAATAAATGGCCTAGTTATAATATTGGCATCTGACTGATTATATACTTACCGTGTTATCTTTCCTGTTTAGCAGTACTTGCACCAGTGAAATGTTTGATGATAATGTCTAGTATAGTTCCTAGGATGACCTCTATGTGCACCTACATTTTGGATGACTGACAGAGTTTCAACATAGAACTTTGTACAGAAGTGAAGCAGTTCAACTCACCACACTTCATGGAGCAAACACAAAGGTAGGACAAAGAAAGGAAAAAGGAAACTGAAAAAACTTGTAGTGAGCGAAAATGTATGGAGAAACAATAGTAAGATAGAAAAGCAGAAGGGTTCAACGGATCTAGGGCATTACAAAGAGTAAATGTATCTGTGCCATTGTGAACAGTTTTGGATCATATCACCAATAGTCTCCAGGCACTAGTTTATAACATCTCAAGGACAACAACCAAAGAATCTGCACCTTTATACTTGGTTCAAATCAACTGTCAGGATGTTACGAACCGATGGCTTGAGACTGTTGGTGGTGTGGCTCATAACACTGTCCTCCATGGCATAAATGCATTCACTCTTTGTGATCTCCTAGATCCATGAAACTCTTATGTTTTTCCATGTTACTGATCTTCACCGCTCAGATTTCTTATTATTATAGGCAGAGTAAAATTTAGTTACAATAATTTTAATGTCTTTGCAACAGTCTACACCCCAAAATATATATTGAGAAAGGTAGTCATAAAATATCCATTGTCAGCCTAGTCTCTACAGTATTTGGATGAAGTAGTTGTTTCTGTATTGCGTGGATAGCTCCATTTTCTGATTCCATTGTGGGTAAAATTTTATTTTGATAAAGTCTCACAGTGTTAAACAGTAATATTTATTGATGACATTTCGAGCACAATTTATTGCTCATAATCATATCAAGGTACTCACACAACTTTCTACCTTCGTTTATATAATATTTATAATTATATAAACAAAATAAAATTTTACGCGCAATGGAATTGTGCTCTACATCAGTGCACAAGTTCTATTCTTATACCATTTGCGGGTGTCAGTCAGCTTCTGATAAAGTGAACCTCGATATTGTGATACTCTTAATGGTAAATTAGATTTATATTTTGATGGAGTTAACTTAAATTTACAAATGATGTTTGTGCTAAGTAATCACTTTATATGGAGCATATACTACTAAATGGTATCTGTGTTTATCAGATGGGTTGTGTGAATTTCGGAAAAAATAGACATAATCTAGTCTATTTGTAATTTACATGTAACTGTAAACAAAATGACTGAATGCTTACTTACCAAGGGTAGTCAATTATTAAATAAGAATATTAAAAAAAATAGTTATAATCGCGTTTACAGAAGGCTTAGTTCCCACAACTTAAATGTATCTTATATGTATACCAACATTTTTGATACGAATACGTTAATTGTGTTTTTACAGATTTTTATTAGTTATACGAGAAAAGTCGTACACTATATATATATATATAGGTTGCATAACTCTCCTATCTTGGTTAACCTTACACACTACAAAAATATTTTTAATCATCATTTTACTTTGGTTTGATTGCTTATTCATGTTTCCTGCACTTAAATGTATGAAACGGCATACATTTGGTTTACTCCCAAAGTATATTTAGATGTTTATTGTTTATGTATGAATCTAAGTAAAATTTTGATTTCTGAATGAAAGCGTGGTGAATTCTTAACTTGGACTGCGTAATTTTTAACTGAATAATTTGATTCTGCACATTTGCCCAGTTTGTTCAAGTGGGTGTTTCTAAATAGATTCTACTTTCTGAGCTCAGCCAATCTGAATGTATCGTTGGTGAACTCAGGCGCAAACGAACGAAACAGCTATCCAGCAGATCATTTCAACCTAGCCTACAGACATTGCTGTTTGACGTTACTAATTCACAGCCGCTCATATCAACCAGTAGTATATACTACCAATATAAAGATTTATTGTTTTTTTGGCATACTTGGTTCTTCCCCTTAAAAAATTCCTTGATTTTTTACTGTTGCTTTTTCGTTGAAATACTAGGATACAAATCATTTCTAGTTGATCACATGGAAATGGCGATTGTTGTAATTTCAAGCTCAGATTATTGTTACTTTCTATTAGATAGTGCATTGTGCAACTCAGCAAACTGCTACGGATGAATTTTATGATGTATGAGTGAACTAAAATTACAACACTTATTCTGATGTATATTACATGGATGGCTAAGCAACATGACTTATACAATCTGCCTATTTAGGTGTGCTGGATAAAGAGTCCTGAAGATTTTAATGGTGGGCAGTTCGTCAAGTTGACGTAGATGAAGCATAAATCAGACTCTAAACCAATTGGCTAAATGTTCTGTTTAAACTGATAAACCTTCTTTCCATTATCTCTATGGTCAACCTTATATGACGATTAGATTTTTCGCAATTATGAACTTATCAAAAGTTTTCATATTCAGTTTTTTAATGATAGAACATATGTGTGTCTGTATGAATTTAATCATATCTTATTAAAATTTATCGTCGAATATGACATTTTTTATCACATTTTTTATCCATTATTGTACAGTATAAATTTTTAGTGAACTGGTTGGTTTATGTACCATTGCACTTTTAAAACGTGTACTTCAGTGACAAATACAAGTAAGCTAGCTAAGTCAACTGACAAGTGTATTTATCATCATCTTATCGTATTTAAATTAAATAGTTAGGAGTTTCCAACACATGTTCTCTGTATTTTTGCTTATGAATGAATTATTGGTGTTGTGATGACTTATGAGCATTATTTAGTTGTTGCGAATGACAGATTGTTTGTCATGTACTTCTTTTTACTCAGCGTAGGTAAAAAAGGAAAATGATACTATACACACCAAATGGTAGAAAATGCCAATTAGAATGAAAGCTTAATTAACCTAAAGTTCATGCGTGCTAAGGGTTAGTAACAGAGTGTAACTGTAACCGTGGGGTAGGAACTTCATTCCCTTTTGGAAGTGTGAACCAGCTTCACTCAGATCGGAAGCTAATGATTTCTAATATTAAGTTGCTTAACTAAAGACTTGCCTCATATGCAGGACCGGCTGTGTCATCTGACCTAATCTAATCATCAGTGTTGTCTTGTTTGTGTGTTCAAATTCTATTTATCAGTGTGCCAAAGTATTGTGACGTATGGCTGTGTGAATACATTGTGCACTTTATCAATAGTTTTCCACTAGCATTAATTAACATACGGTAGTTGATTTGTATGGTATTGCATTTTCATTGAACTTGTAAGAGAGTATTATTGCTCTCTTTATTTAATTTTATTCCTTTAAGTTCCCAGTGGGACATAGGGCCTCAAGCTACAGCTTTGAAGTTTCAGTAGCAGTGGTTTTTGCTTTTAATGGATGGTGCTGCTAGCCTCATACCCAACCTTCCCTTTTTACCAGTCGTATTACTGGCTTAGCGAGGTAAATGAGTGCGTCGGCCGGGGATCAAACCCCAGACCACATGCGTAGTTGGTGAGTATTCTACCACTGTTCCACCGACGCCATTTAGTATTCTCTATAATAGTTGATTCTTGAAATTAGTATTTACTTAAAGTAGGTGCTAGTTATTTGTTGTGACCCGAATAGAGGATAGCAGCAAAGCAAGAGTATGTAAATATTTGTTTCCTCTTCAACGGAATGAGTGGAATAATAAGAGGTAAAGAGAAATATTTATCCATTAGATCGGCAGAGATTTTGCTCATAATCCTAACCTTAACTAATTCTCTCAGATGATAAGAGAAAAGGTCTACTCTGTCATTACAAAGTATGGTCATATTTCACATTAACATTTTATTCGAAACAAAACTGTTAAAGTGGTCAACTCTCATTGGTTTCTAGTGGAGTCTAAAATATCTATGGACGAATCATACAGACAGCATCTGCTTGGTATTCTCGCATGACGGTGTGTTTCACGAAAGGTTGTATATCAGCATATCAAGCTACACTATTATGGTGGAGAGGAGAAAAAGGAGATAGAATTAATATTATCAAAAGTCATGGAATGTGTTTGAATGAAATCACGGAGTTAAATGTAACATGACAACTAAGATGGGGATGCATTATGAACTCATGCATGCCACTGTTAATAACCCTAAGTCCGTAAGCATTATTTGAAGATTTATTGATATAAACTGTAATTACTGCATTTTTGTATTTGTTTGACAATGAAATCATTCAATATTTTTTTGGTTTGTTTATGATAAAAAGGTGATTTCTTTAATCTTTTCCCCTGGTTAATTTCAATTTTTAGCTTTCTTGTCTCGTTTCTGGTTGATGCACGTGGCGGTTCTATGCGTGGTAGCCGTCACCCAGGTCTTCGGATTTTGGTTCCACCCAGTGCAGCTAGTGCACCAACACGTATTACTTGTCGTATGCTACGACCAGAAAGGACTGCTCGACCACCACAATTGAATGATTGTGAAGGATTAGCTTGTCGGTAATTAGCATTTCTTTTTATCAACGGACTATTTTTACAACATAGTAATGTAATTTGAATTTTTGTATTTGAACTAAGCGATTTTCGTTCCATATAGTATAGGGCTTCACATTAATCATAAATAGCCTAATACCTGTTTACAAAGAAGTGAGGGAGGTAAATGGTATCTGTATGTCTAATTAACGTAGTTGTTAATTGAATTGAATAATGACGTGTTTAGTTAGCTTTTAACTAGTCCAAGGACTTCTGCTTTCTGACAGCGATAAATTAAGAATACGAACGCACGTTAATCGATAATTATGCAATTATAAGCCTAATCACTCTGTCGTTTGAAGAAAGTAAAATAAGTTTTTGCGGAATAAGGTGTTAAGTAATGTAAAGGAGTTACGCAATAAAGACAAGGGAAAGGCAGGGAGATAAGTAACTAATAAGATGTATAACAATGTGGTGAGTTCAACTCAAATCTCAGAAACAAAAGACGAGCGAAATTGCATTATGGAAAATGGGGAAGAGGTTAAACCCAACGATTACCTGCCCAAATAAGATGAAGAGTAAAGCTGTTGTGTTACCAAGGCAAGGAAAGACTGATAACTGCTTATTTTTGGACACAAAACGTGTTTCAAGCATACGATAGCAACTGCTTTGGCAAACTTGAGAAGAAATGAACTCAACAGTCTATTGATAATTCATCACCCGTATGAACGGGATGCCTGGTAGCAGCACTATTGGAAGCATGAAACGTTGACTTTTGAGTATACGTTCAGATAATTGAAGATGTGCCCTTCTTTCTGTTCTCTCTCAAAGTAACTGACTACCACAGATACATGTAAATTTGTATACACAATTAGAGCTAAAATAAGAAGGGTACTTTTGATTGCACCAAAGAACATGTTGTCCGATAAACGAGGAATAACTTAGCTGCAGGATAGGTTCTGGTTAGTGAAGTGTTCAGTCTTCCGATTACTATTCCTGAAATATTATGTTATACACTCTTAATTCCGTGTTACTATGATGATTGGTACTAAGTATATCAATTGATTTTATTTTACTAAAATAATGCCTGCTAAGTGATATTGGATCGATATGTAGTCTGATTGATTTCTATCTTTTCAAATATATATATATATATATATATATATATATATAATATTACATAACATTATTATTATGGCTAGTTTGATCCGAGACAGTAAAAGCTTTCTATTCAACGGTCTATCTTATTTCCTTTCTTGCTTTGCGTGTCAGTGGTATCGTGTTGTGATGGTTGTCGTTGCAAACAGTGATAATAACAGTAGGCTCGCACATCTGCTAGTTAGGAAGTTCATTTGACCAAGATACTCGTAAACCACCAGGTTGCATTGATGGTCATATCACAATATCACCCTTAAAATCGAGTTGAATGAAGATAGATTTTGCATTTAAACCCAGATATATTCCGTGCTTGTTAGTGGATTTCTAAAGGTTTCTTTTATTTCTCAACATCTCATGAATCAGAAATTTTTCTTTTAGTTTCTCAATGGAGCTCGGTAAAACAAAGTTTTGACCAATGTTCATACATAGTTGATGAGACAAAAATTATTGAAATTAAAGTACTGTCCATTCTAATTAGACTCTCAGTGAATTGGTCTATCTTCCAAGCGTTCCATGGAGATGTCAATAACTGTTGTTTTTGCCTTATTTAAATTCATAAAGGGGAATAGGTTATGAACCCTTCCATATATTTCTGATTAACAAAACAATCAGTTTCTGTCTCATACTTATTTGTCAGATGTTGGGATTGAAGTTACTGAAAACTGTCAGTTGATAACAGGTTATTAAATAGCTTAGTGTAAGAGAAAGAAAGACAACTAGCATTCATTTCAAATTATGAATGATGGATAAATATTAGTATTAAACATCAGCACTCTTTGTGGAAATATAGAAACACGCAACGCTTTTTTAGCTGACCTGTCATTTATATCACTTGATTGGGGATAATCTCGAAAAATAAGCATGAATGGATGCTTATAGTAGACAGCTGTTGTCAGACGTTTATTTATAAAATGTAAATCTAAATCTTAAGAGGTATTATTATCATCAATTTTTAATATTATCTCCTACAGAATCATCGAATTAGGACCTCACCCATGTAGATTTAACACGCCAGTTCTTTTAGAAATTCCACATTTTGCTTCATTACGCGGTCGTCAGCGTGAATTGGTTGTACTACGTAGTGATAATGCTGAAACATGGCGTGAACATTCTTTAGAAGCTACCGATCAAGCTGTTCAGTCAGCTGTGGGCCAAAGTTTTGGTAAGTTGTTAACTAACTTATCATTTTTACGTTTATTTGTGACACTAATCACTTTTTGGTTCGCGATAGTAAAAGTTAGGAGATTTGTCTTACATAGTTTTCAGGGTAGCAACTGCAGGTTATTACCTAAGTTGAAACTACATCTAATGTCAAGTACCTTGGACTGAGTATTTCCTCCGATCTTTCTTGGTCCTCTCACATCTTGCTAGTTACTAGAAAGATGTTTCGCTTAACGTTCTACGTTAGGAAGTTAAGGCAGTTTGGTATAAAGCAGTTTTTGCTTTCTCAGTTTGTCAACTCTTGTATTCTAACCATCCCTCTTTACTGCTCCCCATTAATCTTTCCTGGATTACTTAAGAAAAACTTTGCTTTACTGCGTAGGGCACTAAAAGCTGTTAGTAGGGGAAGTGGGATTTCGTTAAACCAACTGGTTAACACCATTGTGGATAGACATATAATGTCATGTAAGAAACTAGCGAATACTATATTGTCAGACCCCGAGCATCCTCTCTATATGCAGCTCTCTCCTTGCATTTCATCTGGTAGAACTAGAAGCAACTATAGGGGGCTATATGCCAGGACTACCAAGTACAAAAACTCCACAATACCTTATCTGGTACAGCTGTTATGTGATGAGAAAACTGTTAGGTATGACACGATCAACTTACTGCGGCACTCTAACAAATAGTTCCCATTAGCTTTTGTTTTCCTTTCTTTGTTACCATTATATTGTTGCTCACATATTCTATTACACACTAATTTTATATTTCATATTCCGGCGGTGCATTGTTCAAATATGTGAATGCAATGCCGTTCTTTTTTATTTCTTTTATTTCTCTTGTTTTCTTTTTGTTGTTGTTGCTTTTATTTTTAAAATCTTATAAAAAATTTATGAGGTAAATAGATGCAATATTGTAATGCACGCTGAAAATTCCATACCTGTACCACAAATACTGTTTGGAATAAAGCTATTATTATTATTATTATTTTTATAGAACGCGAAATATAACGACCTTTCACCTTTCTTCCACTGAACTTCGGAGGAGTAGTTAGCACCCTTGATACCTTTCAGTGCAGTTCAGGTCACAATTTAAAGGTAGGATTAACTTGATCGGCGTTTGCGGCACAGAGGTTAGGACTCTCGCCGACCATGCACATGGTCCGGGGTTCGATCCCTTGCCGACGCACACCTGAGATCAGTGGTTGGCCTGCAAACTTTGGCTACCCATATCACATGCTGAAAATTCCATACTTGTATCAAAAATACTGTGTGGTTTCAAGCTATAATCAAAAATTATATATATATATATATCAGTGAAAATGAAATCTTTGTTGATAAGGGTTAGCCAAAGGAAGACAAGTTTGAAAAACTCTAGGTGTAGATAAAAAGAAACATGTCACCAGTTCATAAAGCAGATTATCTATTTTGGATTCTGAAGACGTTAAAAATCAACAAGTGTAGACTCCTGATGATAGCATAGCTTGGAATATTTCATTAATTATCATCTTTGAATTCCTGGACATCTTGACCCATTTCCTTGTTTATGCCTGTTCTCTTCTCTTTCTACCTTTTTTCGAAATATAAAGTGGTTAATTTCTGTGCCTGATTCTTGATTGATCTCTTGCATATGACTGGCTATGACCAAATAGATTGGCACAATTTTTATCGGTAACACTGAAACAAACTTCTTATAATTAATTTTACACAAAATTTAGTATCAATTTAATGTCAGTGGGTTAGGGAAACAGTAGGGTACAACAAATATGCAATGAGGTCGGAATAACTCTTAACAGGAGAAATCCAGGTTAACCACAGTGTTAACCCCCTTATACTGAAAATAGGACAAAATCGCTTGATTTCGCTTACCTTTGTTCTACAAGGCACGAAAACAAATAAAAATATTTCACTGGATAAACTTCGTTCGTATCATTTCATTTATATTAGATGCTTTTGTTATTTAGTTGATGGTGGCTAGCTGTGGAATGCAGGACGCGGGTTTTATCTTATCTAGGATTCGTTAATGAGTGGTGGTTTGATTTCGGCACCCATCGTTTCAAATGACGAGGTGTTACCCGCTACACCAGTGGGCCACTAGAGCCCCCTCTTGTGCAAAGGGTATTAAATAAATTCTTCAGGCTGTACAATTATAAATCCATTAGTTTAAGTGTACTGAGTGTACTTTTAAGTTTACACCACGTCTTCATTATTATTTCACAATCTATTATTGTCGTTATTTTCACCCTCGAACTTACGTCTGGTTTATTTTCTGTAGTATTCATATTGTCTCACACACCACTGATTACACTCACCCTCGAAACCTGTACTTTTGTTGACTATGTTTGTATATGTGTATACACACATCATTAAATTGTTTCATCTTAATTTATCTCATGTTCTCACTGACCATGCATATCCAAAAACTGACTATTGTTCCATCCCATCTTACACCTATTCCACAATACACTGTCTGATATGATTCTAATTTGCCTTTACTGACTTGGCTGTTGTATGCCTAAATTAATGGATTTATAATTGTAGAGCCTGAAGAAGAATTTATTGAAAACAATTCTTTAACTATTTTTGTTTTAAGGGCTATTAGTTATGGTTTTCTGAAATCCTTTTTTGAATTTCCCTCTGACTGATTTTATCGGATCGAAATGCTCTGTCTTTGTTGACATGATGGTAATTCTATGGCACCTTTGAGGTGGCTGTATTGTGAAGTGACATTGATCAAAGGGGCAGAATAATTCCAGCGAATAACAGAAATTTTTACTGAACAGTATCATGACTTCATTACTAAATACGTCTATCTAAGGTAAACAAAAGAATCATCACATGTAGACTGTATGTGTTTGTTTAGGATTGAAATTATGTAGCAGTCAGTGTCAAGTTACTTTTGACGAATATACAGTTATGATAATAATGTTTGAATCAGGTTTCTAGCCCAAGATTCATTTGAATGAACTGACTTTTAATCTTTGTTTAGTTAGAATTTGTCGACTGTATTCGATTGGTTTCCAACTTCTCACATAATCTACAGCGTGTCTCATGGCCGTTAGGACTGATACAAGGCTGCTTGATTTTATCTTGTTCTACGGGTTTAAAAAATTTCAATCAGAGCTCTGTGTGCATGTATATGTAATTGCTAATCAATGAATACTGTAAGTAGGTAGAAGTATATTTGATAGCTGACATAAAAATATGGCATTATGACGACAACCTTACTTGCCAAAATTGTCGATTACCGCATAGTTGTTAACATCTCTATATAAACACATACCTTTACATACTACATCAGGTATATAACCAACTGTACACGTGCATTCTTCTTTCTTTTTTAGTCATGTGACGTTGTGGTAGGTTGGTGTAGTTTCTGTTATAGGGAGACATAACAGCTTAAAAGTTTAGTGACTATCGCCAGGGCAAGATGGTCAACAAAGGAATATAGAGTAATCGATATTTTCTTCCCTTTGTTATGTTCCCCCCCTAAACTGCAATGGATTATTGACCTTCATCAGTCATACCTAAAGTGTTGAGTCATATTTTCTTTTGAATTGAATTTGTTCTATTTGTAGTCGTGTGTCAGCAAAGACAGTGCTTATCTAATCGCACCAGAAGGTACAGAGTAAGCTAAATTCACGAATTTCTTCATTGGTGCTGTGATTTTATAATATTTCATTAGCATTGCTATTTAAAAGTGTGGAGTCTTACACAGACACAGTAAATTGTTCAGCGATTTTCCAACCTTGAATTACTGACCGTTAGAAATTGTATAATGATTTAACTCGTCCAGTTGGAAATGACTCACTTTAAGACACTGACATCATTTCATCAAATCAGTTCTTTCTTACTTTATTGTAACAACATATAGTAGGATCATGCACTTCATCAAGTCAGTTTATCTCATGCACATACCACTGTTATATACATTTGTTTAAGTTAATTTCGTATTTCCCGTTGATTGATTATGTTGCACCAAAACGCTCGGTCTTTGTTGACATATCGGCTCTTAGTACGGACGCTTCAACGATGTCTGAGGATTAACATGGTTTTGTTGGGTAGATGGTGACTAGCAGTGAAATCCAGGATGCGCATTCCATCCAACTTGAAACTCGTTAGCTGTATGTGCCTGCAATCCAGATTAATTGATGGTGTTCCCATTGAGACTCGAACTCAGCACCCATCATTTCAAACTCTAAAGCACTATCTACTAGGCTACTTGGGTCTGTGTGTGTCTCAATCTGGTAGATGAAAAATCTGTGATCCTAGTAAATGAGTTCAAGCAAACAACCTAATACGGATTGAATGCTAACGCGCGAAGCTGAATACAATGCCCACGAGAGTGTTGTATAACTTAGCTTAGTAACACCAATATACATTTGGTCGATAGATGCTGATCAGTAATTGGGAAAATGCCTTTTTTAATAAATGCAATGAATGGAGAGTTGTAATCTCTTCCTCAGTAGGTAATAAAACATTTTGTTGACTTTTAATTGGTATTAATCAGTAACACGCATCAAAAAACTAAAGCAAGGAATCCTGCATTTGCTTGTCAAGTTCAGGTTAATCATTATTGATTTGTATGGACTGTTATTAAAATTTAGAGGAAGATTTGCACAAACATCGCACTCCAAGGGGAAAGTAGATAAAACAGAAAGCCTACCCACTTTATTTATTTTAATAAAATAATGAGAAGTCTTTAACCTGTTTCAAATATGGTCTTAACATATAATGTATCAGTGTGATTTATTATAAAATATTCATGTTTACATTTTGCGAAATCCCATTGATTCAAAAAATGTTTACATGTCGTGAAAACAGAACAGGTAAGGTAATCAGTATCCCAGTCTAATTAGATGCCATTGTAGCATTACTTTTCTTTTTAAAAACACAGAATGGGTATTGTTCATAGTCTAAGAACTAAATTTGATTCAATGCCAACTGGAAGTAATTCTGAGATATTTGTTTGTGATAAAAATAATCACATAAATGCATGACGCTTGCTGTTCAGATCGGTATTGTCCATTCGCGGCTGAGCTCATCAGATGTGTACTTGGTTTGAACCACCCGAATTCTAGATGGTTACTTGGGTGAACTGGTGATACTTTGAATCAAATTCGCAATTTGCGAATTGGAATTCACTCAGTTCGAGGAGGCGAAACTTCCACGTGGTTTCCTTTGCAAATCGAAATTATTCAAATCACATATAGTGATTTAATATGAAGACCGAGTGTTTGGTTTACTAATAAATCACAGTGATGAGTTTTAGGAGGACTGCTGTACAGTGTTAACTTATTGTATTTCACAATTGTTGGAAACAATATATTGAGTTGTTTACACATATTACTAGAAAAAAATATGCTCTTAAAGGAATCTTACTGTTCGATAATGAAATGTCACTCAACAACTACACGCGTTCGCATGCACTTGGTAACATACTAGATCTATTGTTTTATGGCGGAGGCTACTACTTGGTTGGTGAAACATTGTTAGGTGGAACTGGATTTGAAGCTCTGATAAATACGTAAATCAATGAGCTAAAAACCCACAACAGAAATGCCAGGGAATTCCTAGAATCGCAGTAGACAGACGAATCTGCAATCAACAGACACATTAATATAAATCAAATTTATCACCTAATTGCCAGAAGTTAGAATTCATGGATCATTGAGTCGGGTTTCACTGGCTGAATAGTCTACGAGCTCGTCTCGTAACCGGGAGATTCTCAGTTTGAACCCATGAAGAGTCCGAAACTAAGACGAGACAGCTGTGCAGCACTCCCGGGTTTCCCAGTGATTCTCTAACTGATATCAGTTCGCCATGAGTCCTGTAATTAAGAATAAGTCACATGACAAAAAGTCAAATTCCAAATCGAAATGATGACCAATACTAATGCAAATCAATAAATAACCACAATCAAGGTCGTCAGCAGAGACAATTATACCATTCAGGGAGAGTTCAAACATGTTCACTTCACATTGAAATCTGCACTAAAAGTGTTGTCTAAAAAGACGTTGGAAACTTCTTGATTCAGTTACTCGTTTGAAAGACCATAACTACATCAGAATTATTATCATCCAGCTGAGCTACAAATTATTATTATTATTGTATCCTTTAATTCCTACAGGAACATAGGGCTTCAACCGTGCGTCTCCATTGCGTTCTGTTCTCTGCTAGGGTCTTCACCTGGCTCCAAGTCTGCCCACACGTTTTCATCTCCTCTTCACATGACCTCCTCCAAGTCACCCTTGCACTGACGACCAACTCGCCGCTTCCCTTCCGGGTTCCACTCGAGCAATGGCTTGTCGAGTGATGTCACTTGATGGTTTCCTCAGAGTATGACCAATCCATCTCCATTTCTTCCTGCCTATTTGTTTCATAATCGGTTCCTGGTTGGTTCGTTCCTAAAGATCCCTGTTGCTGATCTTTTCTGGCCATCTGAGCTACAAATGTTCTTTATTATTTCTTCACTGCTTGTCCGGGAGGAACTTGTACTCCTATTCTCTTTATACTAACTGACAGTGAAATCAATGAATTCTTGATGAACATTCATGTCATAGGATGAGATATATTAATATTTGATTGTTCTCATTACTTCGAAACAATGAGTATTTACAAATATGAAGCTGAAATAAATTTCTTTTATCTTATTATTGTGCTGTGTTGTTGGTGCAATAACCGTAATTTTCTTTCAAAAAATATTAATTTGAGCAGATGGTTTAGAAACAATGGAAGAACTTCGAGAAAAGCGTATTATTCGCATATTGACCAATGATTTTCCACAGTATTTGGCAGTTGTTAGCAGGTTACGTCAAGAATCATCACTAGTTGGTTCAGATGGTGGTGTACTGAGTTCAACAGTTGTTCCACAAGTACAAGCTGTTTTTCCAGAAGGTGCACTTCAAAAAAGAATACGTGTTGGTTTACAGGTACCCAATTGTATTCTCATTTACATCATGTTTTTACTTTCCGTTTACCTTATGTCTTCGAGAATCTTCGTATTAATTCTTAACTTACTGTTATTAAGAAGAGCCTAATTACTACGTTAAATCGGATCATGTGTACGTGTGTACATGTTTGTTGCGTTTACAGACTCTATAACTGAATTGTTCGAATATTCATTATTTTTAATATTATTCCATTGGGTCCCGAATGGAACACAGAGCTTCGACAGAAAGTCTCCATTTCACTCTGTTCTCTTCACTCCTTGATAGCTGGCTTCACCATTCCCCACAAGCTTTCATTTCTTCCTCACATGATCTCCTCCATGTTACTTTTGAACTCACGCTCACGATATTTCTACTCATTCGGGTTCCACTCGAGCGCCTGGTGCATGATGTCACTTAAGGGTTTCCTCAGTGTATACCCAACTGGGTAAGAGTAAAGTACAGCGACTCAAGCGAACGACCTTGGAAATGACCCTAAACAGTCAATCAGAGAATCCCATAGTAAAAACGCGAAATTTTGATTTTTGCTATTGAAATATCAAGGTAAGCAGTAAAAATTAGTTATACAGGGTAACGATCGCTTATATGCTTTTAAGAATATCTCCTAGTTCAATATGGGATTTCTTATCAGTACTCCAAACCAATTTCGGCACATGAATAATTTGGTTGTGAAAGTAGCCAAATGACGATAACTGCATGTGAATCACTCCATATCCATCAGTGGCAGTTGCATATCTCTGTAAAGTCATTATCCCTCCACATATGAATGTTTTATTTTTTCCTATAAACTTATTATCCAGAGATATTACATCTGTAATTCGTACATTTTATCCGTATTTGCACGCTTTTATTATGGGCTCATCTGATTGGCTTTTCAGGGTCATTTTGAGAAAAGTTTGTAGTTTCCTGTTGGAAATGCTTTTCTTGACGTGTGCGTCATGTCTTCTAACCAATATAGAAGCACTCACTTCCCAGTGCAGTACGATTCCACTCTGATTTCAGAATAATGACGGCCCGTTTTGCTTTTCCGATCCTGCCTTTGACATTCATATCTATGCCGTCTGTATTTGAGACGGTGCTGCCCAGATTGGCGAATGTGGGGGACCTCCTTTAGATTTCTGCCGTTGAATGTGATTGATGCTTGTTGTTGGTAGTTAGTTAGCTTCATCATCTGTGTCTTCGCTATGTTCACTTGAATTCCTGTCTTTGCTTTTTATTCTGCCAACCTATTGGTTTTCTCATGTAGATCTTCGAGTTTGTGTGACATTAGACTGGAATTTTCTTAAATTAACTCCTTAATTAAAAAGGAAATTAAATTAAAAGAGAGAATATTTTGATTCTTGGTCTTGGTTAAGTTTCGTAGATCATCAGCACCTCACACAGCATTAAATACATCACAACAGTCTATTGAATAACTGAAATTAGTTGACGAAGCATCTTTAAGTATGTGGTGAGAGCTGGCTGCTAGCCAAAGTTGGTAGACAGTAATTTACGTCATTGTTTATGTCCCCAATATTGGTCGTGAGAAAAATGAGTAAGGCTTTGCGTAGGCGGATACAGTTGGCATATAGATGATCTGACAATCAAGAGACAGCAACAAAGAGATGAAAGATTAACTTTCAGTGAAGAAACAACCAATCAGAAGACTGTGTTTGTTTGCTTAAATAATCTATAATAATGTACATGAAAATATATAAATATGCTTTGATCTCCTTAATAAACGATCTGTTGCCTGGCCCTTGTCTTCTGTTTTTACATACGATCTGAAGACTACAGTATGGATAAATGCAATAGTAAGTTGATCTGTATATTCCGATAACGAACGCTTCTATTTTTACACCATTATGATGACTTGCAATCTGGGATAAATTTTAGCGAAGTGCTCATCACTCGCTCCGCATCTGACCGTTAACTCCTCTGGTGGTGGGTTAGTCACTGAACTCACCAAATAAGATACCAACTTAAGCTCAAATTCCCCGGATCTTCCACATATCTACATGTCACCAACCATGGTCTCTATTCTTTCAAGGTGGAGATATAGTTTTTTCGCTATGTTACATGCGTGGTATAAGATTTCTGTGTACCGTTAAATTCCAAAAATTCATTACAACATTGTATTTTTGTTGTTTGTTGACATTTTTATTCATTTTAGGCCCATCCAATTTCTCCAGAATTAGTGACACGTCTGCTAGGTAATCGTGTTGCAGTTTCACCAATTGTGACATTAGAGCCACGCCGTCGTAAATTTCATAAACCAATCACTTTAACAATTCCATTGCCTAAGGCTGCTGTTAGGGGTATGATCAATCCAACAATGAGTGATTTGAAGTCGCAAAATGTGCCAAGTTTAAGATTGTTATGCAGTATCACTGGTGGTACAGCACCAGCACAATGGGAGGATATTACAGGATCTACACCGCTGTCTAAAGTCAAAGATTGTGTCTCGTTCACTACAACTGTTTCAGCAAGGTAATAGTCCATAGTATAGTTGGTTTCGATGTTATAATCCTGTCCATTGATATATCGTCTTAACATTGATCCATGCCAATTAGAAATGAATGTGTTTAAGATTAGGTTTTTAGACATGCAGTCAGAATAGAAGAGACTTTGGTAGTTTAATTGATATATTGAAAGAACTCGCTAGTCTGAGTTTCAACATAGAACTTTGCACAGAAGTGAAGCAGTTCAACTTACCACACTTCATGTAGCAGACACAAAGGTAGGACAAAGAAAGGAACTAAACTAATTGTTACTAACCATGTTATACCATTTAACACGGAATAAAGAATGTGAACATCTGTAGTGAATTCACTAGTAGCTCAGTTAGTAATGAATTACCGAGTGCTTAGTAAAATGAATTTTCTTCCTAGTCGTGACTGTCAGTTGAAGTATAGCTCTCTCGCTTATGTGTTTGTTTGTTACTATTTTAATGAGTGACAAAACTGACTTATCAATTCAACCCGAATCAGTTTAAAACAGCACACTTAAAGGAAGAGAACTGTACTGTTTTGTAGTTGAATTAAATAGTAATTTCCGCACTAAGTGCCAACTGAAATTTGTACGCAAGATCATGCAAAAACAAGAAGGAATGTACTAGTAATGGTGTACTCTCAAAACAACTAAATCTCAGACAGACAGTAAGTAGTAGTAACATTTACATATCCATCAAGTAAATTCAGGCATGCATCATTAACAAATGTACAACTAGACATTGTCAACACAATGGGAACAACCAAACAGACGGATAGAATAATGAATAAGGCCTTCATATACACTTGTATGTACTAGATTATAAGCCAAGTAAAGAAGCTCAAAATGAATCATTGTTTCATGAATACATTAGACACGTGAGAATGTAGATCAGCAGCACAAGAATACATTCAGTAGAACTAAATTATAG